AGCCACACATTTTTGCTTCTGTGATGCCCACGTGATCAGATTTTCATTTACAAAGAATGCCATGCCACTAGCGCTCCTTCGATCATTGACATCATTTCCTAAGTCACTGTTTGTATACCCCTTTAGCGTGACTGGTCCCTCTCCTTTTGAGTACTTCAAGCCAAAATCCAAGGTGCCTTTTATATACCTTAAAATACCCTTTACTGCTTGTAAGTGATTCAGAGTTGGCTTTTCCATGAATCGACTTACAATTCCCACAACAAAAGTTATATCCGGCCTGGTGTGAGTTAAATACCTCAGCCCACCTACTATACTTCGATACTCTGTTGGATTCACCAATTCAGATTCATCTTCTTTCTTGAGCTTGAGCTTGTGTTCCATGGGAGTCTTTGTAGGGTTACAGTTTTGCATACCTGTTTTGACAAGCAGGTTCTTGGCATAGGACTCCTGCTTTAGTGTAATCCCATCTTCCTTCTGGTTCACTTCAATCCCCAAGTAGTGAGTTAGAAGTCCCAAATCACTCATCTCAAATTTAGTGTTCATCTCCTTCTTAAACTTCTGAACACTTTTAGGGCAACTCCCTGTTACAATTAAATCATCTACATATACTCCTACAATTAGGACGTGTTCATCATACCTCTTGGTATAGACAGAGTACTCATGAGCGCACCTCGTGAAACCAATGTTCTTTAGATGTCGATCCAGGCAAGCATTCCAAGCCCTAGGAGCTTGTTTGAGCCCATAAAGGGCTTTGGACAACCTTAAGACTTTGTTTGGCTCTTCTTTCTTCTCATAACCCGGTGGTTGCGATACGTAGACTTCTTCTTCTAGATTACCGTTCAGAAATGCCGATTTGACATCCAAGTGGTGTACATTCCACCCATTTGTACCTGCTAGGGCTAGAATTAGCCTCACTGTTTCGATTTTTGCTACTGGGGCGAAAACTTCTTCGTAATCAATTCCATGCTTCTGAACATATCCCTTTGCCACAATTCGAGCTTTGTGCTTGACTATTTTCCCACTTGGATCCTTTTTCAGCTTGAATACCCATTTTAGACCGATGGCCTTTCGATTCTTTGGCAGATCGACTAACTCCCATGTTTTGTTCTTCTCAATCGATGCTAATTCCGCTTCCATTGCTTGTGCCCATTCTTTTTCTTTGATCGCTTCGACATATGAGGATGGTTCTTCACCATTACGGATCAATTGAAGTTCTTCCAGGGGTATGTGGATCTCATCTGTGGCCTCGTACAGATCGGTGAGAAGCCGATATCGCTTTGGAGCTCCTCCGCCGGTGGAGCTGGATGTGGTGTTCGACATTGGTGTGTGAATTGGGGAATCTTGCGGTGTGTTAGAATTGGGTGTATTTGGGGAGTTTATCGGTGTACCCGATTGGCTTGAACCCGGGTCACCCAAGTCATTTGACTGGTCAAAATTGACCCAATCTTCATTTAAATCCGACGCCGTCGACGCCATGTTCCCTTGATCAGGAGTATCCGGTACCCAATCACCAATATCATCATCGAATTCATCATCGAAATTAAATCCTTCGACAGTGAAGGTTATCCCTGGTGTCTCCTTTATCTTCCCGCTATTTTCCCACGTCCATGCCTGATTCTCGTCAAATCTAACATCCCGACTAACATACATCTTTCCTGTATTTGGATCCATTAATCTATATGCTTTCGTTCCTTTCTCAACTCCCAGATGAACAAGACGAATACTTCTATCCTCCAATTTTTTTAAGTGACTCTTTGCAACCCTCATGTGAGCCACGCATCCAAATACTCTTAGATGTTCGATATGTGGTCTTCTTCCCGTCCACATCTCATATGGTGTCGAATTCTTCAAGGCTTTTGTTTGAACTCTGTTTAGAACATACACATAGTACATTACAGCTTCTCCCCACAGAGCATGAGGCATTGTCATGGTCTTCAGGTTGCAACGAACCATTTCCAGTACCGTTCGATTACGTCTCTCCACTACTCCATTTTGCTGTGGAGAGTATGGAGAGGTGTAATGCCTCTCTAACCCAGTCTCGTTACAATACTTTGTAAATTCATTTGATAGAAATTCACCACCGCGATCAGTTCTGAGCACTTTTATCCTCTCTCCAGTCTCCGTTTCTACCTTCCCTCTAAACATCTTGAACGTTTGAAGAACTTCGTCCTTTGTCTTCATTAAGTAAGCCCACATTACTCTGCTGTAGTCATCCACAATGAGCATAAAATATATGTTTCCGGCGGGTGTGGGAGGTGTGATTGGGCCACATAGATCACCATGGAGTAATTCCAGTTTCTTTTTTGCTCTGTAACTCGTCTGGGATGGGAATGAATTTCGAGTCTGCTTTCCCATCAAGCATCCTTCACATGGCTGTGTGGGGATTTTCATCTGAGGCACACCTTCAATTAGGCCTTTATCTACCATTTGCTTCATCGAATTAAAGTTGATATGGCCCATTCGCTTGTGCCACAGCCATATGGACTCATCAGTTTCAGCAACTAGGCAGATGGATGTGATCTCTTCTAGCTCTATCTTGTAAAGTCTATTTGCTAATCTTCTCACCTTCATTAGCAGCTTTCCCTTTGAATCTTTGACCCATAAAAATGGATCTTTGATCCTTATTTCATCTCCACCCTCGGCTAGTTGGCCCAAGCTGATTATATTACTACACATATCAGGGATGTAGTAAACTTCATTCATCTTTCGTTGACCACCATCTTTGCATCTGAATACAACTGAGCCTTTGCCTTCAATTCTTACTTTAGACTCGTTCCCAAATTTCACGAAACCATGAATTGATTCATTCAAGTTTTTGAACTTGGTTTTGTCTCCAGTCATATGATTACTGGCACCTGTGTCTAGGTACCATGTGCAAGATAACTTCTTTGGGTTGCCACAGGTTCTCAATTGTGGGCTAAGGTTTTCTTCATTCAAGAATACTAAACTTTCATCTTCGTATGTTGCCAGTAGCAGGGCATGTTCATCTTCATGATGCTCGTGGATCAGATTGCTTTCGTGGCTTCGTTCCTTTAGAGGATTCTTACATTCAGATGCATAATGCCCATACTCTTGGCAATTATAGCACTGAATGTTACTCTTGTCATGACTACTCGATGCACCGGAATTGTTCTCCTTTTGGTGATGTTTTCCGCCTCTGCCACCACGACCACCACGGCCTCCTCCGTTTCTTCCTCTACCTCTGCCACGACCACCACGTGAACCACTAAATCCACCTCGACTTGCTCTTTGCTTTGAGTCACCTTCTGATTTCTTTTTGTTTCTATCAGACCATTCCTTGTGAGTCAACAAGAGTTTCCGATCATCACTATCACCTGAGCTCTTCATCCGTTCTTCATACGCCTTGAGTCTCCCGATCACCTCTTCAACGGACATTGATTCCAAGTCTCTAAATTGCTCGACTGTCGAGGCAATCTGAAGAAATTTGGACGATACCGCCCTGAGTAACTTCTTCACCACCTGAGATTCTTCTACCTTGTCTCCCAAGGTTCGTAACATGCTGACTGTGTTAATTACTTTTCCGGTGAAGTCATCAATATTCTCCGTTTCTTTCATGCTCATGGCTTCTAATTCAGCCTTGAGTGTTTGGATCCTGGCAACCTTTACTCTATCGGCTCCTACAAACATAACTTTGAGAGCTTCCCAAGCTTCTTTGGCAGTCTTTTTCTCCGCCAATGTCATGAGCAGATCCTCCGGTATTCCCTGATAAATGGCAGCCAATGCCATGTTATCCTTCTTTGCTTCAACAAGAGTGTTGGCTGTTCTGGGTTCTACTGCATCCCAAACACCTTGAGCCAACATAAAGACCCTCATCTTAATTGCCCATGCACTGTAATTGCTTCTAGTCAACATCGGATAGTGTAGAGTGATTTGCCCATCTTTGTCACCATTTCCATTGCTGCTGCTGCCCGTCATTTCTTCTTTTCGGGGTTGATACTTGGGCATGTATCAGGTATGCTCTGATACCAAATGTTGGCTTTTCACAAGCCTTTTACCAAGGGTATAGCAATGAAACAGTAAAACAAATGAAACAGAGCACAAAAACTGCTTAAAGCTTATAGCTTTTGGAGCCTTTATTCACTGAATTGAAAAGAAAAAATGATAAACTCAACGTTCACACTAGCTACCTATTTAAACAAAGGAAAGTGCTAAAATTTCTGCAACTACCCCTACTGGCTTAAGACCCGGACTTCAACAGTCAACATGGCTTGAATTATTCAACACATAATAAAAACATGACATAAAACAATTAAATCTATTTCTGAATTATTCCATCAAATGGTATTCTTCTGTATTCAGGCCGATATTTCTTGGCAAGTGACTCCAAACTTAAAGACAAATTGTTGCGTGAGTTTCATGAAACACCAAGTGCGGGTCATGGGGGCACTAAGAAAATGCTGGTAAGGTTGTCGGCTCTCTTCTTTTGGAAAAGCATGCGCAAGTCAGTGGATGATTTTGTTAAGTGTTGTTTGGTCTGTCAACAAACTAAATATTCAACACAAGCCACGGACGGCTATTTGCAACCATTACCGACGCCGGAAGCCGTGTGGGAAGACGTGAGCATGGATTTCATTACCGGGTTACCGTTATCAAAGGGCGCCACTGTTATCTTCGTGGTAGTTGATATATTGTCGAAGTATGCACACTTTGGTACCTTACCCACTAGTTATAATGCTAAACAAGTTGCTGAACTTTTCATGGAAATTGTGGTTAAACACCATGGATTTCCGCGCACGGTTGTGTCAGATCGGGACGCTATTTTTGTCAGTAAATTTTGGAAACATTTGTTTCGTTTAAGTGGTACCACTCTCAACTATAGTACTGCTTACCATCCACAAACGGACGGTCAAACTGAGGTGGTGAATAGAGGCGTCGAACAATATTTACGGGCTATGGTGTCGGACCAGCCACATTGTTGGGCGCGCTGTTTGTTATGGGCTGAGTTTTGCTATAATACTAGTTTCCACACTAGCATTCAAATGTCACCTTTTCAGGTCTTGTATGGGCGATTACCACCAGATCTTATTCCTTATCCACCCGGATCTTCAAATGTGGCGGCTGTGGATGAGGTATTGGTAGCTAGGGACACTCTTATTCGCCAACTAAAAGATAATCTGGCTGTTGCTAAGGCTCGTATGGAGGCCAAGGCGAACAAAAAAAGGCGTGAGGTGAACTTCCAGCCGGGCGATCAAGTTTTGGTCAAGCTTCGTCCCTATCGTCAGATTTCAGTCGCTAATCGCTTGACTAACAAGCTATCCAAACGCTACTATGGTCCGTTTGAAGTAATCGAACGCGTGGGAAAAGTCGCGTACCGCCTGGCCCTACCCCCAACTAGCAAGATTCATCCGGTGTTCCATGTTTCTATTTTGAAACCATTTAACGGCGATGCACAGGCGGTCGTTGTGGCATTACCAGCGGACGTTGAGAAAGGACAGCCAGTGGAACAACCCCTCGCCATTTGTGGTTCTTGCAGGGTGCTGCGCAACGGTGCACCTGTACGTCAAGTGTTGGTACAATGGACGGGTCGATCGCCAACTGAAGCAACTTGGGAGTATTTGGAAGAATTTCAAGGAGCTTATCCTACTTACCACCTTGAGGACAAGGTGTTTTCTGAAGGAGAAGGGAATGATACAACTGGAGACATGGAGTCAAGAAGGTCGACAACTGGAGACTTGGAGCCGAGAAGGTCGAATCGGTTGGTGGTCAAACCTGTTTGGCAGAAGGATTATCACATGGAGTGATAATGTCACGTGACTTGGAAGAATCCACATTTAGTTTCTTTTGTTTTGATTATATCTGGTAGCTTAGAAATTAGTTTGAATAAGTGGATAAGTAGTGGATAAGTACTTGTTTTGAATTCTTATTTGGATTATGTTTTGGTGATTATTTAAGCTAATTAGAATCACAAGCCACGCAGACTTGATTTTGGCAATTCTTCTTCTCTTTTCTTATTTTCTGTGTGGAGTACGTGCTCACTCGAAGGGCACAGCTTTGATACACTATCAAGGTGTATCAGAAAGTTTCAAGAATCTTAATTCTCTCTCTTACCTTTCACTTTCCAATTGTAGCTTCAGCAATCTCTCATCGTCTCTCAAAGTCCTCCAGTACTGCCTGAATCTAACTGTTTTGGTTCTTACAACCAACTTTTATGATGAACAGTTGCCACCTGATGATGCTCTACAGTTCAAAGCACTCAAAGCTCTTGTGATTGCCAATTACAGGCTCACAGGTAGCATTCTGCCATGGCTAAACGGTTTAACACAGTTGCAGTTGCTGGATTTGTCATGGAACCATTTGACAGGATCGATTCCAACATATTTGGGTGATTTTAGGTCTCTCTTTTACTTGGATTTATCAAACAACTCCTTGTCAGGAGAGATACCCAAAAATCTAACACAGTTACAAAGCCTCATTTCAAGTGATATCCTATTAGAAGAACCATCCACAGATTTTACATTCTTTAAGTATAAAGACATGTCAATGAGCAGAGTGACCTATCAGTACAAGCAGATCACCACATTTCCACCATTTTTAGACCTCAGTAGCAAACTCCTCACTGGCCGAATCTGGCTAGAGTTTGGAAACTTGAAAAACCTACATATTTTGGATCTGAACCATAACAATTTATCAAGTTCGATTCCTGGTTCTTTATCAAGTATGATCATCATAGAGACGCTGGATCTTTCTTTTAACAGTCTCACAGGAACAGTCCCTGCATCTCTAGTGAGCCTAACTTTTTTTTATCCAAGTTCAGTGTTGCCTACAATAATCTAACAGGAATCATTCCTTCCGGAGGTCAATTTCCAACATTTACAAACTTCAGCTTTGAAGGAAACTCTGGTTTATGTGGTGAATTTTTTTTATCAACTGTCACAATATTGATCAAGTCCCATTGCAAACTCCTGCATCATCTGATAATGAGGAAGCCTGTGACATTATTTTGCCTGTATTGACTGGGTTTGGCACTGGTTTCCTTGTCACTGTCATTGTATTGCTTGTTATTCCTGCAATTGGGGATAAAAATAAAACAGATTTAATCGGGTAATCTCAGTTAAATGTTCTCCCATGGCAGCTCTATGTCTCTCATTCCTATCTATGTAAATAAGATTTGGAGGACTGTTTTCTATATGCAATGTGTGTTTGTTTCTTAATCCCGTGGTGATTTCTTGGTATTCAATTCTCTTAATTTAAGTTTTTGCCAACTCTATTGCCATTTCCCCATATAAAAATGTGTTGATCTGCAACATTATAATCAAAACTTGGAAGTCCACTTATATTGATCACCAATATCATGATGCATCACACCAAAAGGACTTTGGCATAGCAGTATCAAGAGTTGATGAATAGATTTTCTTCAGCCAAAGGTTGATGGTTCAAGTCCCACTTGGGATGAAAGGTGTAGATGTAGGAGTAAGTAGTAGGTGTGTATGTGTAAGTCGTGCTAAAAAAACCATGATGCATCAAATGCATACGCAAAATGAATAGTTAACCTGGATGACAAGCACCACATAACGGTTAGCTTTCCATCGATGCTTTCATTTGGATTTTTATAGTTGAGTTGAGGGGGTAAACATTAGCAGCTAGGGTTGTAAACGAACCAAACGAACGTGAACAAGGGCTTGTTTAAGTTCGTTCGTTTAAGTTAGCCGGACAAATGAACGAACACGAACGAATAAACGAACGAGTTTTCATGTTCATATTCGTTCGTTTAAAAAGTTACATTGTTCATGTTCGTGAACATTTTAAACGAATATAAATGAACGAACATAAACGAACATTGATAAATAAAAATAACTGAATATATATGAACATAAACGAACATATAATATAGTAATGTAATCAGACCCAATTTAAAATATATGAACATAAAAGGAACTTAAATGAGCGAACATAAATAAATGTAAACGAACAACATAAACAAACAACATAAACGAACGTTCATGAACATAACTGAAAGAATGAGATCATTGTTCATGTTCATTCGTTTAACTAAATGAACGTAAATTGTGTTCATTTTTGTTCATTTATTAAATAAACGAACATAAACGAACTTCCCGCCGAACGGTTCACGAACAGTTCGTCGAACGAACAGTTCGTCGAACGAACAGTTCGCCGAACGTTCAATTCGTTTACAACCCTATTAGCAACAACGTCCAATAAGTCTATGTTCTGCCACCATTACTTTAATCATCGTCTCATTCAATGAGAAATTCAGTGACACCCATTCACTACCACATAACAACATAATAGGGTATCACACATGGTATCAAATAGATATGACTCGATGATCGGACCGTCAGCCCTTGAATTTTTTTCCAAAGGTTTTTATAACAATCTCAACTTCCTACCATTAGACTATATTGCGAATGTGTTTTGAATATAGAACAAATTATTGGAAAATATTTGATATATAAAATTACAAACATTATGATAACCTCTAGACTCTAGTATGGCTAGATACATCCATTTGTATTGCATTGGACCATTAAGAATCGCTTTTTGAGCTAGATATATCACTAGGTGTTCCATGGAATTAAATAAATTGGTAGGCAAGATTTTATGTAACTTGTAGATGGTTTGATAATACTGTGTTTTATATTTTTCAAGCCATCTAGATGTAAGACTTTGAACATATTACTCAAAAGAATGTTCATAACTCTTTTATAACATAATATATCTTATATGGTATAAACACTATCATAGTGGAAGAAACTATTGCATAAAAACATGATAATCATGGTTTTCGAAAGCATAATAACTTTTATTTTTAGTATTTACATAATTTCATGTGTTTAAAAAGTTTCTCATTTAACCGAAGATAGTTAAATAGAGACTAGATGGAGATAATATCAATATCTTTCCTAGCCTTTATATTATCTTTGGATCTATAAGTTTCCATAAATATTGTGCCAAAAATACTGTCAAAAAAGTTCTTCTCAGTATGCATCAAATTAAGGTTGTGTCGAATTAACAACGTAGGCCAATATGATAGCTCCATAAAGATACATCTCTTTACCTACCTATGTGTAACCCCAAAACCATCATGTTTTTTACTTTTCGGATAGTAGGGAATACCTTCATATGAAACATCCCAAAAATACGGTCCAAAAATTTCGTTTTTATTACTAATAAAACCATAATTATCAAATCGTCACATAAAAATCTTCAATCATTGTTTCTCAAAACATCATAAACATATGTCAATCATATCAGAGTAAAACATCCCAGACTAAAATCATGGTGTGTGCACTGCAGTCATCCCGAGCTCTTCCCTTTGCTACCGGAAGTACATGAAACCAAAACTGAAGATGGTAAGCACGAAGCTTAGTGAGTCTCCCCAAACTACTACATACCATACAAATAATCATGCTACTAGGAGATACGGGCCCCGCCCACACTCGGCTAACTAGGAGATACGGACCCCGCCCACACTCCGCTGTCTAGGAGATACGGGCCCCGCCCACACTCCGCTGAGAACGAGATACGGTCCCCGCCCACACTCGGCTAACTATGAGATACGAGCCACGCCCACACTCAGCTACTAAGCATACATACAATTATCATACAGACAACAAGTATAATCAAAGCTATCAATCAGTCATATATCCATACTCAATTAATGCTATGAGATACGGGCCTCGCCCACAATCAGCTATCTATGAGATACGGGCCCCACCCACACTCTGCTACTAATCAATACACATAACATATACGGGCCGGCCTTGGTGCCTTCGACCCGTTCAAACCTGGAGGAAACTCACCTAGCAAAGCTGACTGTGGAATCTCGCGGTAAGGAATCTCTAACGGCTGCTCCAACGACTCCCCGACTATCATTATCACAATAACACTTAGTCAAAATCCAATAATCCTTCTTAGGGTAAAATGACCATTACCCCTGGCCAAAGTCAACATTCTGGTCAAAGTCAACATTCTGTGTTGACTCAACTCGCCGAGTTGACCCATCAACTCGCCGAGTTCCATAAATCAGAAACCCTGAAGTCGCGATCCAACTCGTCGAGTTCTTCACGAACTCGTCGAGTTTCTCCTATCAACAGAATCGAGACTTTCCAACTCCACTCGTCGAGCCCGTCCTGAACTCGTCGAGTCTTTCCTTCTACAGGGTCGGGGCATTTCGACCCAACTCGTCGAGTTTCTTTATGAACTCATCGAGTTCTTCAGTCTGATAAGCTATCTTAATAGATTAAGCTCCTATCCTTCAGATCTAAGCTCCATACTTCATATATACATACTGAAAATGTCCTTTTAAGGGTAAAGTTTCCAACTTTACCCGTTAATACCATTCCTTAATGGATTTAGCTCAATCCCTAACTCTTTAAGACCTAGATCTTGATCCAAAATCCATTAATACTTCAAGCTAAGGCATACAAACTGAGATCTTGACCCTAGACACTACATGAACACATAAATTCTCTGACTTTCTCTCCATGAATGGCCTTTTGGAGCTTAAAAGGCCAAAATGACATCCTAAAGCTTGCATGGGGCTTCAATGGCCATAAAGTTTGCACCTTTATGCCATGAAAGCCCTTCAAGGTCCTAGATTTGGAAGTATACTCACTTGGGACGTCCATTTCCCAAGGATTAAGATATTTGGACCAAAAACCCAATAAAAGTGAAAATGAAGAGATCTAAGAAATCATTAAGCAAGTTTGAGACTTTCTTACCAAAAAGTGACGAGGATGGGGTGAAGTTTCTGGATCTACTAACTCTTTCTTGAGTCCTCAAGCTTCTTCTTCTTCCACAAGCTTTAAATACACAAGTTTTCTCTCAAAAATGACTCACAAGCTCACACAAGGCATTAGGGTTTTGAGATTTAGGGGTTGGGACCTGGAGGCTGTAAATGAGGCCAGCCTTTGGAGGTTAAGGTGTTTAAATAGGGTGCAAAACCCTGAAAATTAGGGTTTCACTCTGCCAGTCCTACTCGTCGAGCTGAGGCTCTCAACTCGTTGAGTAGAATTTCCAACCCGCGTCCAATTCCATTCCTACTCGACGAGTTTGGGGCCTCCAACTCGTCGAGTTTCTATACAAAAGCGAATAAATCTTTAATTAAATACATACCAGGAACTAGGCGGTACATCATAAATCGTGGGAAGATGGTGGACTTACTCCTATATTCCAACCCATATCGCTTTACAATAGGTGTGGCATGCATCTCTTTTGTGGTTTCCCGAGAATTAGACATATCGTTTTGGAAAACATGTTTGCATAACTAAGCTAACCCGATTTTCCTCCAATTTTAAGTCGAAAAGATCATGCGTGATCCATGTAATATGAGCAAGCTAACTTACCATGCATGTTCCGGCCGGAACAAGCCAAAAATACTGATAAATTTTTTCATTTTTAAACCATCAAATCCATACAACCATTTGTTCTAAAACCAATAAAAAATAAGTCATTTAAACATCAGGGTAAAATAATAATATGCAACGTGGAAAAGCCATCAGGGGATGTCTTGCAGTCAAGTCGGGCCCTTCCCATTGGAACTGGAAGTACCTGAAAAATATTAAACCACAAACCGTAAGCACAAAGATTAGTGAGTTCCCCAAATACCATATACAATACATACATAGGATAGGGAATTCTATGTGCTAACCATAGTCTTACAATCACTACCAACCATCAGCCACATCATGGTCTTTCCTTGTAATGCCAGGGCCAAAATCGGATCTTACATACAAGTGCCAAGAGCCACCTCCTGGTCTTCCATGCACACATCACAAAGACAACTGTCATCCTACATATAACTGTCAAGGTCC